CTTACCTAGATGCAGGTTTGGAGTTTGGTTCCAAGTTTTAGTTACAAGGTAGAACTACACACAGCAGTTCTCTCTCTCTGGTCACTCATGGTTCAACCATCATCTTCAAAGCATTTACTCAGCTAATCTTTTCTTTAGTCAACAGCGTATGGACAAATGTGTAAAATAAGAATAGTTTATTGCTCCATATTACCCTAAGCAAGGGTGAAAGCAAGTCATGAAGGCTTCCCATATAACCAAAAAAATGTTCATGAGCTTGCTTCCCCCCCATCATTCATTTTATTCTTTCTATCCTTCTTTTTTTTTTTTTTTTTTTTTTTTATGAAATCACCCAACTTAGTTGATCTAACTATTTGGCACCTACATTAGGTAGCATACATCTCTTTTAGGAATATCTTCACAGAGCTCATTGCATTGCTGGGGACCCCTTGTTAAAGAGATGCCTTCAGCGGGTGTACCCAGGAGATGTGGCAGCACATGTATCTGACCTATGTACATACTACCAACAGAATCCCTCTGAATCTGAGGATCAATGTTTCACATGTTTACATAAATCCAGTAGGTCTTGCCTGCTCTACGTAGCTGGATGCTATGCCCATAGTTTTGCAGTCAATTAAAATTATTGCTAGACACAGCTGATTGGTGAACACTACCACACTGCAGGCATACTACACAGAGCTGAGATCTCTCTACCAGCACTACAAAAGAAACAACACCCAACAGACTACAGTATATAGCACATCTTTCCATCTCTGCTTAGATGGTTAAGCTCTCCACTAATGCTAAATAAACACTGAATCAGCATGTATGCTTTTAGTATATCTTAAAAGTTCCTCTAAATGGCAAACATCTGTTGAATAATTAGGTGCCTAGAACATAAAAATGTAAAATTAAGTTTGTAGCACACAGTCCATATATGTACTGTCTTACATTTTCATAAACATTATTTATTTAATTAAAAATATGGAACTGATAAATCTGCATATTCTGTTAATTTTCCTAGACTTAAGCACTGGCAAGTTTTTGCATTTCATTGTCTTGATGGGATTCCAGTATGAAGGAGACCAGAGGAAGGGAGGAAGTAACATTCAGAACATTTTAACTTACAATGACAGGCAAACGGAAACAACTGGAAGCAGAACTGGAAACTCCTTCACCAAAATACTCTAGTTCAGCAGTTTTATATGGCAGTGACATTATAAAACCATAACAGAAATACCATGCTAGCTCAGAAAGTTTCAGATACTCTAGTAATATATACTGCAAATGGGAAGACCCAAGGAAAAGAAAAATAGCAAGGAGAGAGTGAGTTGGGAAAAGCCAGATCATTAATCAAGTGAATAAATGCTGACAGAATAAAATGTAAAGAATATTATTTTAAGAAATAAAACCATTAAATATGGACTGATTTAACTTTATATTTTACTTACAGACTTACAACAGAGTATGACCTTCAGTGTTATTCAGTTATTGTAAATAGACTTTTGTGAAGTACCTCACTGTGCTGCAGTTTAGGACCTCAATCATCACTTCTGCACTCACATCATGGTTGATTTTTGTATGTATCTACTATAAACATTTTTTGCTTTCTTCTCATCTGATTCTCTTTTAAAAATAGAGCAGAAACACAAAACATTCATCCAGTCAGTGGCTCTTAGTTACTATATTTTCCAAAAAATTCAACAGATTTGAAGTTGCAGGAAAATCAGATGTAGTAAGCTAGCATATCTCTTTGGAACAAAATCTGTGTGGCAAACTATGTCTTAACTAATCATTTTAATTACTTCTTAAGAGACCAAAAGTTTAAATTGCTTATTTACTCTATTTAAAGAAAGTGATTGTTAACTCATGCCCCTTGGAAGCCTCAGTTCTTCGGGATCCACGTTAAACTCATACGAGCAATTTTACCAGCACTGCAATTTTTTGAAGACTATTGAGGCACTGTTAAGCACACACTGGTACAAAGGCTTCAAAAGGCACTTTTGTGTAAATCCTTCTGGTCTTCAGTGACTGCACAAGGTGCCTCTCTCTGTAATGGTTTTTGGGAAGACTGGGATCTTTTTTTCCACATGTTCCATGATATGGTAGGACTCTTAAGTGTGTAGTCCAAGTCCTCTAGTCCCATTGAGTGGAAGGACTCAGCAAACTGAGTCTGTGAACCGAGTTCAGCAAACTGAAACTGCTAGTTTGCCCCTTCCTTCATAATGCCCCTTGAGAAGATACAGGGAAAAGCTGTGTGACCAGACTCCCTTTCCACTAGGGGACAGGGAGACACAGGATCTGCACAGGATACCTTGCCACCCTAACCCAATGAAACCTCAGTTCAGCATCCTCCTTTCACTCCTCCCAATCACTGATTAAAACGGCCCTTTTGCTTCCCTGACACAGGTGGTTTCAGCAAGTGCAGCTCTTCTGTGCTGGTTTGAGCTGTCTGTTCGCAGCTCCAAGAAGAAGTATCTGGCAGAACTGGTGGCAGCAAGGAGGTGACCTGGTGGGAGGTGCCGACTGCCACAGCTGAGCCTCACGCCTCCACCTGGCTCCCTGCCTTTCTCCAGCTTGAGAACCAGTACCTTGATGCAGAGTATACTCAGCAAGTCTTAAGAAGCCCAACCTGATGTTTTTCCTTCATCCAGAAGACACAAATACTCTGTTAAATTAAGTGAATGGAAAAAAATATCACTATGGGGAATTTCTGAGGCTTCTGTGAGGGGATTGTTGAGTGTTTTTTTAAAGAAAGGCAGTGTCTGCAAAGCTGAAGTGTGAGCAGTTCACAACCTGCTTCCCAGCAATGAAACTATGGAACCTATTCCCAGACTAAGGAACTTTGGGAAAAATTGGTCATTACGTTCTATTGTGAATTAATTAGTTACGCATTTACAAAGGGACGTCATACACAGAAATTTCATTTCACAATCAAGATATGATTTAGACTAGACAAAAGCAAACAGTTGATTAGCACAGACATTCCCATCTTAGTCTATACATACATAACATTAACACTTTTGTGCTTTTTTTTTCTTTTAATATGATCTCCTTAGAAGGCATATTATTCCTTAAACAAACTAACAGAAGTTCTCAAGTTACTTCAGGATAGTTACTTCAAAAGACAATGCAATATTTCATAATAAACATTTATAATTAGGTTTTTAACAAAGTAATTCATTATATAAACAAATGAATCAGTCAGACACTAAATAAATATTTGTACTGGTAAATACTAGCATTTTGCTTATATCATGTAGGACCTGATCCTGCAAGCCCTCTGCATACATCTTTATCCCCACTGATGTAATTTCTTGTTCTAATCTACTGTTTTACTTTGAGCTGAGCAAATACTTTCTGGCCACTAAGTTAGGTAATTGAAGTAAGCACTGGAATACATCCCAGCAGACAATAATTTCCTTAGATGTCTTTGTAAATAAGGTTTTTTTTCACGTTTATGAAATCATCACAAACCTTTATCAACAGGCATTCAGATTTTTGTATTTACAATCTGATTTGCATCAGTTAGTCAAGATTGATCAAATGAATTGTATGTTCCTTGTTCTTGGCTCTCTGACTGAACAAAGCCTGACCTTTGCACTCAATTTAAAGAGCAGTTTCCTATAATTATTTCATAGCTAATACCGAACTTTACTTTCTCCAGACATTTGAGCTAACAATACTGGGTTAGGAATGCAAAAGCCTCTGGGACAATAACAAGCCAAGCTTCTCCTTGTGGAGGGCAGACAAGCATGAATTACCTTTTATCTGTTCTCATCTACAACAATTACTACCTTCTCCAAGGCAATGGGGATGGGCTTTTTAAAGAATACAAAAAGCTGTGGCCAGACTCTTAATTCTGAGTTTACTCCTTTTCAGGCATTAACTAACCTACACACCCTCTTTGTGTCTTAGGAAATTTACCAGGATACCTTTATACAGGTAGATGTGTCAGTGAATTCCAATCTCTTAGCTGTTTCTTGGAAAGAAACACAGAAGAAATCAGTTACAACTGAAAAACTTACAAACTTGAATTCATTAATTGTTTACTTTTCCCTGCCCAGCCAGATCTATTTGAAATATAGTTTAAAATCAAGGGTACTGAGGCTATTAGATATACTTGCTGTATTTAGTTTGGCTGAATTCTGATGGTTTCTTGGACGCCTTTAAACTCTTACCACACTATAACATAAAAAGTGCCAAGCACATGGCAAAAATAATGACAGCTGTAAAAAAATTGCTGCCTGAACTGAAAAGAGGAACATACTTTGAAATTACGTTCTCTATATATCTATATATATATAGGGATATACACACACGCATACACACACATTTTCACATACATATCCCTATATAAACACTTATCTAAAATACAGAAATTGATTTTTTTTATTTCTTCTGTTGGTATCATTTTAAAGACTTTACTCCATGAATCCACAATATGACAACTTCAGGCTGTCCAGAGAGATAAATCTTAACACAGTCTTACAACCTCCACTAATATAAATATATTAGGAAGGAACTTTGACCAGCAATAGTAAATTTTGCAACTTAAATTATTATTCTATCATTATTTTAACAACAGATTGCTACTGAGTACCAATATTTATGAAAAATGTAAAAATAAAAAAAAAGATACACCTTTAACTTCTAACATTCTGTATCAAGTGCAGCTTTTTGATAGGAATGTAAAAGAAAATTATGTATTAGAGACTCATTCTAAAAAGAGAAACAGCAACTTATACTATGTGTTTCCAAAAAAGTATACTGTACGCCTGCACTTTATCATGACCATGTTGTCATAGTTTCTTCTTGCCTGCAAATGAAGGACGTTGGTTCATGAATCTTCTAAAATGTACATGAGCATTTGATTAAATCCTGTTCCTCATGAAAATAAAGTTCATTTATACTTAGAGTGAACAACAATGAGGATTTTGTTATTATAATAAGACATTTAAGGACCGTGGTAGCCAGTACCAGTTGCATTCACAAGCAGCTCCTCAGCTTTTCTTTTTTTTTTTTTTTTTTTTAAAAATAAAAGTACAATCATAGTTATTCATTTACTTTAAAAATTCTAAAGATGAAGAAAAGTAGTGTTTATACATATAAGTCCTCATATAAATTATAAAACTCAAGTTTATCTTATAGAGTTCCATCCCCAGAAGAAGCATAAAGCACTTTTGTGGTACCTTCGCCAGTAAATATTTTTATCACATCAAATCTGTAAAATGCAACAAAGATGACACTGCATCTCAAAGCTGAAAGAGAACATTCTTCTGATGCAGTCTCTTGTGATGGATATGTTCATATGATTTCTGTGACTTGACTGAATTTCAAATAAAGGAAACATGAAGGAGTTCACCTCACCAGTTCAGTAGGTATAAGAAACATCAGTGAACAGCAGACTCATCCTGTTTGAGGTCAACAGTCTTTGGAAGACAACGAGAAGAGAGTTTAAAACTACAACATCAATCAAATAATAATAATAATGAGGTAAACTCCCCTAAAAAGGCCAAATAGTCTAGAACGTCAGGAGAGAGTCTGATTGTACCTGACACCTAAATGTTTCTGTAGCCAGAGTTCAGCAAGCTGCATGGTAGAGGCAAATGTACTTGCTTTGGACCCTAAGCACATTTTATATTGTTTCGGATCTAAATTGGGGTCACACTGAACTGGGTGAAAAATATGGACGACTCCTACTTCTTGACTTCTGAAAGCCTTCAAGCCAGACGTTATCACTTTAGTAAAGAGATCTACATCCTCAAGTCCCCAGCCTTGAATTGAGGTATCAAATCCACCAGCAGTAAGTAGATCACTTTTGTAAATACATGTAATTCCAAATCCATACTCTCTCCAAAATCCAGTTCTTTTTGTGAAAACAAAGCTGCTGTCAGCTGGAGGGTTGCCTCCATATATTATTTTTGGATCATATTGGCTGAAGATGATAGGGTAGTAAACCTGTTCTCCCTGAATAGTGTTATCTCTGCATCGCTGGAGGAAGTCTGGTGTGAATACCAGATCAACATCACAGAACAGCAGTAAAGTGCCATTGTCAAATTGAGCTGAGGCCATTTCAAGACCTAAACCTCTAGAAAACTTTCCTGCCATTGGAATCAGGGTCATATCTGCCTTAGGATACTTCATGCTGTATTCTTTCATTAGCTCTATGTGTTTGCTGGAGTCTTGGCCTGACTCAGAACTGAAGAGAATTATTGCCAACTTCACATTCTCCCTGGGAATGAGACAAGTCTTCTCAAAGTTATCCATAAATCTTGAAAAGATGTCGAATCTTCCTGTGAGAGGGACAAGAATATGTATTTTCTTGTCACTGCGTCTGCCAACATCTTTGGTGCCTTGGAACGATGAGGAAAAAATCTTCAAAGAATTTGAAAGAAAAGCAAAAGATTGAGTGTCAGTGTTGGTATCCTCTAGCAGGCTTATATCCAGCTCTTCTGCTTCTTTGAAGAAAGGTTTGCTAAATGATTGCTGAAGGTAAGCATGGCGTCGCACTGGAACAGTAACTTTCCTTCCTTTGTGCCTTTTGTACAAAAGCAGTAAATCCAGGATGTATTCCACTCCATGCAGAGGATTAACCCTGCGGTAGCCATACTGTATTTCTTTGAAATCAATGAGCCTCCCTCTAGTCCTAGAGTTCTCATTTATCATTTCCATGACTTGCATCACGGTGTCATCCAGCGCAGCCCGCAGCGCACTGCTAAGGCTCTGCCGGGGTGGCTGGTTGTCAACCATCGAGTAAAGAAATTTTCCTGTCAGGAACTCCCACTCAATGACTTCATCCCTTTCACGTGGCTGGAAATAATTAAAAGATGGCATCACCCCCAGTTGCTGATCTTCCTTATTTACTTCGCTGTTACTGAGCTTGCTCATCAGGGCACTTTCTCTATGGAGTTGGATGGTCCGATAGCGCAGTTCAGAAATTTTGCGGCTCAGTATGTAATTGTGCAGCCTGTATTGGTAGGCTGGTCTTTTGTTTGGATGAAGCGTTATGGCTGTGTGTATCTTGCTGTTGTGAAGATCTTGAATGTAACCCTTTCGGTTGTGTTCATAGTTTTCATGGAATAACTGCTGCATCTAAAGAGAGAGAGAGAGAAAAAGAAGATATTATGTAAAAGTGCTTCTACACACAAAAGGACCCACATTGGCACTATTGATCATTATCAGTTCTTACGGATCATGCCTATTTTAAGCACAGAACTTCAAAGTATTCATTAGGAACTATTTAAATTGTTTTGGTCTCAGTTTCAGTACTGTCCACAGTAAGCAAACGCTGTCCCTCTAACTACAGAAAAGGGAAGCTTTATCTTTACTTCATCTAACTGCAAACCTAAAGGAAACAGTTAACCAAAGGTCTATAGGTAATATTTCTGAGTTCCTATGTGCAGGCTGAATGCTGCTATGCATGAAACACTAAGGCTTCACCTGCGTCTGAGCCCCTACATCTGTAAGGCATCTGTCGCACAGAACCTTACTGAAAGGTTAGCAACACTGGTAATGTTTTTTAAGAGAACCTTGGATTTATGTCTGTAGAAAACAAAGTTGGTTGTATTTCCTATAGACAAACACAAATGCATATGGCTACTTGATATTAAAAAGCTGAATGGAGACTTCATTTCAACAAAAATATTTTTTTTTCCCAGGTGGACAAATAATTCAGTTACTGAAATACAACAAGTGAAATATGTATATTGGCAGGGACACATTTAGTAGAGTATGCCAATTAAGCTATAGATCATACTAGTATAACTCACTCTCAGTAATTTCCAATGTATTTCTGTGGCAAGAGAAGACATTCTACTTCTGTCAAATTAGTAACTGTAGTGTTTTGTAAATAATGAATCATATTTTGAGATAGGTATTGAACTTTGTCTGTTATACATTGGGGAAATCAAGAGAGGTGAGGTCTGATAATACAATGCCTTAAACTCAAAACATTTAGCTCATTTCACAGCAATTCTTTCTGAAACAGAGGTTTTGCTACAACAAGTAATATTAAGCATAGGGCAATAAATGTAAAATAACCATGATTACTTAAAATCCATTGGCAAGTACAAGAAATACACACTGTCATATTTAGAAAACCAGAATTTGAATATAAAATTTCTAGAATGTCCTTCCCACCCCCTTCAGACCCTAAAGACACTGCTTGAGAAAACATACCTACTACCATTACACAGGTCAGCATTTCTGAGGTTCCAGTCATATAACATGGAAAAAAGCAACAGTCTAATTCTGATAACTGCCTTAAGCTATCTTAAATTTGCCTTTAATAAAACAGATATGTCTGTTATATTAAAGCAAGAGTGAAAATGAAAAATGACTCAAACACTCCTTATTCACAGAATGACTTCAAAAAGCTGTCAGAGTCCACTTGTTCTGTCTTGGGTGGTTGGTATTTTGTTTGTCACATGAGATGAGATGAACCAGGGATAAAAGGGTTTGGACTATTTCTTTGCTATCATAGCAAATAGGAACCAACACTATCAGTACAGAGTCAGTGTTTATTCAGCAGTGGCAAAATTGAAATATGGCTTCCTTGAGGCAAGAGGTGGACACTGGCAGGACAGGCAGTTTACAGATTAGGGACTGAAGCAGAGAAAAGTGCCTGGGAAAAGGCTGGGTGAAGATACTTGCTCTTTGGAAGAATAGTTTTTGCTTCTTCCCCTACAATTTGAATTTTGAATAATGAAAAAAGATCAATTGATCAGGTGAGGTTTCTACCTCTCCAGTTACAAGTAGCACTCTCTTCCTGGTCACTTTTATTTAAAGCTGTCTACTGTGTGCTTTGTAAGGTGACTGTGCTTTTATATTATCCACTTTTTCTGGAACAAAGTTGAACCTATGACTTTCCTGTTTAGAATTTCACATTAAAATCTCCTACAGGAAAATGAATAAAAAGAAAATGTATAATGTTGGAAACGAAAGAAGGGGAGGCTGTTTGGTTGCTGAATGGTAACAGCATTCATTTCCACAAACCCTAACACTTCACTCTTTCAAAAAAGCCCTTAGTCATAAAGAATCACTTGAGTTTTTCTTCATCCACAATGAAGAATTGTATTTGAGTATAACTGAAGTAAACATCAACAGATTGTGATAGTTTTGGCTGGGGTAGACTTAATTTTCTTCAAAGTAGCTAATATGTTAGCTACTTTTTGGATTTGTGCTGAAAACAGTGTTGATGACCCAGGGGTGCTTTAGTTAGTGCTCGGCAGTGCTTACACAAAGTCAAGGACTTTTCTGCTTCTCATACCACCCCACCAGCAAGTAGGGCTGTTCCCAACTGAACAAAGGGATATTCCACACTATATGATGTCATGCTCAGCATGTAAAGCTGAGGGAAGAAGAAGGAAGGGGGAACATTTGGAGTGATGGTGTTTGTTTTCTCAGATAACCATTATGCATGACAGAGCCCTGCTTTCCTGGGGGTGACTGAACACCTGCCTGACAATGTGAAGTGGTGAATGAATTCCTTGTTTTGCTGTGCTTGTGTGCACAACTTTTTGGTTTACCTATTAGCCTGTCTTTATCTCAACCTGTGAGTTTTCTTCCTTTTACCTTTATGATTCTCTCCCCAATCCACTGGAGAGAGTAAGCGAGTGGCTGTATGGGGCTTAGTCGCCAGCTGGGCTTAAACCACAACACACATTTAACTTATGGTACCTGAATTTTCAAGTAAATATATATAATGTATTTTATTCAAAAGATTTCTAACAGATGAAAAACTATCATTGTGTTGTGGTTTAAACTCAGGTGGTAACTCAGTACAATGGAAGCAGCCCCTTGCTTACTACCCCCACCTCTACTTCCCTCCCCCCAGGCAGAATGGGGAGGAGAATCAGAACAATGTAAACCCTATGGGTTTAATAGCTAATGTACAATATACTAATTCTAATAATAATGATAAGGGAACCAACAAGGGGGAGAATATAAAACCAAAATGGAAAAGGAAAAACCCCCAAAAACCAATAAACACAAGTGACACACAATACAATTGCTCAACACCTGAGCAGTGACCACTCCCTTCTGGGTAACTCCTCCCAGTTTATATACCAGACATGACATGCTGTGGTATGGGTCAGGTATCCTGTCTCTGCTTCCTCCTGGCTTCTTATGGCCCTCCTCACTGGCAGAGCATGAGAGACTGAAAAGTCCTTGATTGGGGTAAGCCTACTGAGCAGCAAATAAAACATTGATGTGTTATCAAAATTGTTCTCAGTCTAAAGCCAAAGCACAGCACTGCACCAAGGAAGGAAAAAAGAATAACTATTACAGCTGAAACCAGGACACACTGTAGAACTAAATGCTGCCTTCTTATTGTGCAAATTCTTCAGTAACCCTTGACTTACTACAAGCTTAGCTTCATAGCAGGTTCATTAGCAGTCCCCATTTAACAAGAATAGTCTATTAACATAAATACTACATTTTTATTACATTCTAATTTCAGATGCCTTGGTTTATTAGATATGCTCCGCTGAAATCATAGCAAGAGGTACTCCATTATACTAATGATTTTGCTTTTGATAATCAGCAACAGATTAAAACAGCAATGAAAAAAAATAAAATTGAATCAACTGGGTAATACAATATTATCACACATATACAAACCTGCACTAATCCATTTTAAATTATGTTACTGCACAATTTTAATAGATTTATATACAGAGAAAACAGTTCAGAACAGATATGACATTGGCATGATAAACTAATCCTGAGGATAGAAGGTTTTAATCTTGATGCCACAGAAATTTATTTCCAATACAGAATGACAAAAATGTCTTTTTGCAGCTCAAATTATTAAGAACTAGATTAAAGCAGTTCAATGTGATCCTAACTTTGAAATTTCTAAACAAGGTGGTCAAGCTTAGGAGGCAAAGGGAAAGACGATGAAGTTTCTTGGAGAATGGATCTGTGCAAGGGCACGAACTGGTCAATGCATTCATAAGTAATTTGGGAAAGGAGGTGATCTGGAAGGTGGCAAGATCTACTGAATATAAATTAGAATTATTGAGTCTGCAAAAGTTCTCATGTTTTTTTGAATGGCAAGTTAATAAAATGGCAGATTAAATTCTGCACAGACAAATGCAAAGCACATGTTAAGAAGGCATTCCTAATTATACCTGAAGAATGTCAGACTGTGTGCAATCTGTTAGAACTTTGGGAAAAAAACCTAGTCACACAGTAGGCAGTTCTGTGCAAATGTCATATTGATGTTCAGTAGTGATGAAAGGAAAAACAAATAGTATGCGCACAACTCTAGAGTGAATCTGAAACATCATTATATGGTTCTCTTCCTAGTGCACCTGAAACTTGAAGGCTGTGGGCAGGTTCCTTGTCAGTATCATGATGTTCCATCTGAAATTAATAACATACAAATAGAAAGGTACTAAGGCCACCGGATGATCACACATGTAGATCATTAGATGTAGAGATAACTAGGGAGAAAGGGAGTAAACCAAAGAGGGCCAACCCTGAGATCTATGAAGTCAGTAGCACCATAAGAGAAATACATAGGAATAGCCAACATCTCACATAAAGAACTACGACACACGCAACAATGCTCTCAAGATTCAAAACCAGAAAGGAAGTATGTAGCTCAGCCACAGAACTTACTGGCACAGCAAGCTGCTGATGGTAAAATTTTGTACAGCTTCAAAGAGCGAGCCAACAGCATAGTGGATGACTCGCATCATTGCTGTGTTAAATACAAAGGTATACTTTCTCACAACATTTCTCTACTGCAGAACCTGAAGCCCCAGCTGAGGCTATAACACAGTATGTCTTTATTGTCTTACAGACCTGCCTCAGCTTCTTCTACTGATTATTGCAGAGAGGATATTTTGTCACATGAGCGTTTATAGTGACATGATACAACCACTTCACATTCACTGAAAGCAGTAAAAGGGAGAAGTTGTCTTCAATTCAACATAATACATAAAGGCACAACATATTATTTTTTCATGTTACATGACTTCATGACTTTCCTGAAAAGTTTGCTGTCTTCTATACAATTCTTACAGCATAACTAATGCAAGAGTTGGCAAGGACTCCACCTGAAACTAGAAGTTGGTAAGAAA